TCTAGATGTGTATAAGAGACAGCCCCTCCCCCTTCCTCGCGTAGTAATAGAAGATAAAACTCTGGTGCAAGATTTGGGGAACTGAGTAACAATGTGGAGGAGAACGCCGTGTGAATAGAAAAGTTAACTGTCCCATGGAATGCGTGGAGAGAAGAGCAATTGATGGGTGGGCTTAGGATGGGTTAGGATGGGTGGGCAAATGGGGAGAGTGAGGGTCGCGCACTGCAGGTAGGAGCTTCCGGCATGTGTTACATCTGGAATATGAATGCTTGGGACTTTCTCTGCAGCTTCAACACCTTAGTTCCCCTTCCGTGATGAGAGCACCGAGGTGAGGTTCACATTGTTCGGGTAATTGGTAGTAATTTCTTACCCGCCAGTTTTGCCATGGGCTCGCATCATCGGTGTAACTCCATAATACAGGTAATCATGAGTTCTAAGGTTTCTTTTTAACTTTTTTCTTTTATTTTCTACATCTTTATACTATTAAAGAATTTAGCGGGTCTTGTGTGGGGGCGACGCGTCACCTGCTGAGCATCATGAGGTACCGCAGGAAGGGCCACTGCCGGGTGGGAGCAACCCATGACTTTGGGAAGCGGCACTGGGAGTTGGCCGCCGAAACCGCAAAGGGAGCTCGATCGGAAAAGACCAAAAACATGGTGGTGTATCTTTCCATTTCCCAGCAAAAGATTCATTCTCATTTTGTACATTTTGTGAGTAGTGGAGTATGATCCAACAGCACTACTTACCTCGAAGGCCTAAAAGCTTCATGAAAGTCGGAGCCGAGCAGGACACAAGTTGTTGGACGGCAGGACATGGCGCCACGGAGGCCACGGACATTTTTCCGCTGAAGGGCTTACACACAAGGGGAGAAAAACGTAAAGAAAAAAATTGTCAGCTTTTTCAGGGGTGGGTATGGGCAAAGCACTACTGGGGTTTTGTTGAAGTTTCTGTGCTGTTGGCTACTGTCGCACGCTATTCTCCCCTGTGCTGGATGGCTTTTCGAGAAAGGCATGGACTTGGACACAAAATGCAAGCGCTGTGGAGGGAGAGCTGAGGAAACACTCTGCCACCTTGACTCGTCCTGCCCAGCCTCCAGAAGAATATGGCAATGGTGGGGAGACATTGGACATCCTTTGTGGGAGATACTATCGACAGGGACGAAGCTTGGGCAATGTTCGGACGATTCCCAGCACATTGGTTCCGAGACGGAGGCAGAGGATACGTCGCCCAAGCAATACGGGAAGCCATCCTGTGGATCATCCGGACAGACAGAAACGAAGTCCTCTTCGAAAATCACTGGACTCTGGACTATGCCACCATCAAGCATATAAAAGCAATGATCCGCACAATGACCATCCTTGAATGGGCGAGAAGAGCAGCAAAGGCCACCACCCAAAGGGGCTGCCACTCGTTCCTGATGATATGAGCGGTCTCGATAACCAGCTGGCCTCCATCACCTTTGAAGGAAAACCAGCCATGTCACCTTGGCTCACCCTCTATGTCTGTTGAGCCCTTCCTTCCAACACTCCACTGGCATCACTACCCTCCCCTCCAACAGAAATTGCACCCCCCCGCTACCC